CCAGTATCACCTTTTAATTGCCAGAGCGATCTCCCACATCCCACACAGTGCTTCCCAAAGCACTTTATAACTCAAACCTGCCCCAGCACCTTTGTCCATCCCCCAGTGCAATGTGGCCACCCCATGTGGGAGGCACCGGCTGCGCACGGGTGGCAGGGGACAAGAAACTGGTGCTGCCAGCTGGGGCCCGCCAAACCGAGCGGGGCCATGGGCAGGACACTGTGTATGACATGATTTCATCTGAGCAGACACCTGCAGCCGTGCTATACATACGGATTTGCAAAACAGTTATCACCTGCTCTTAAAAATCAGGAGGTGTGGGGCCTGGATTTATTGGATTTGACCAGAAATCCAGAGACACACACACACAGAGGCACTGAGTGCTCTGCTGTTTGTAGTTCAGGAGAAGGCACTGTGTCTCTATCAGCCCATACCTGCTGCAAACCTGCTCCTCTCTCTCTCTTTGGAGTACTCTGCATCCCAACCGAGAGCACGTGGAAGGAGAGGAACAAAAAAGCCCTCCAGGCTTTGTCAGGGAGAAATGCGTGGTCACAGTAACACACCACTGCCTTCCCCAGCAATGGGGGATGGCGCAAGAAGCTGGAGGAGGAGGGAGGAGAACAAGGTGAAAATAAAAGGTGGGAGCAATTTTAAATGAAAGGAAAAACTTACATTAAATTACTGCTTTATTTCTGGTTCTATGCAAGTCTCTGACACGCTCCACCCTGCCCCCCGAGACGCCATGTCTGCCGCCAAACAGCCCCATAAAGAGGAAAAACACCTGAAGGGATCCTGCCCGAAAAAGGAGCCTTCCCAAGACTTGGATCTACAGAGGAGTCTCTTAGTTAAAAGTCCCCAGCCAAGGTAAGCCCTCCTACCCAGCAGTGTCCAGTCCCACCACCATCGCCTCTAGATGTTGAAGGGTGGGAGGGAAAGGGAAGGAAAAGCTCCAGCCCCAGTGTTTTAAGAGGTGTCCTCCTTCCAGACCATGCATGAACAAGGCATCAGGATGTGGAGCAGACCATAATGCACAGGGCACGGGGGAGAAGTCAACCAAGAGATGAGCACAGGGTGGGAGGAGAGGAATTGTGGCAAGATGAGAGTTACCCAGCTTTCCCTCACCTCTCCCCCCAGCCCCTGCCTCATCGGATGCGGAGGTACGAGGGGATGGAGTAATTGAAGAGCAAGTAGTCCATTTTGTATAAATTAAAGAGTCTCCTTTGGTAGAAAGGGCTAATGTCCTGGAAGAACTGGGCCGTCATGTCGTCTGTCGTCCTGGTGGTCTTGGATGAAGACGGGAACTTGACGCTCGTGTCGGCCCCAACCAACTGGAGGATGTAGTTGGCATCTTCGGCCAAGGTCTCGTACTTGCCCACCACATCATAGTGGACGATGCAGGGGTGGCAAAGCGAGTGCACCCGCTCCCAGTGCTCGTTGAAGGGCTCCTCCCGCTGCGTTCGTGGATCCAGCAGGTAGTATACAAACTCCTCAAAGCGCACGTCATCCCCGCGCTCTAGGGCTTTGTCGCTGGGCTCCTGCCGGTGCCGCCGGATGATCTTAGTCCCGTAGCGCTTGTGGAAGGCTGTGTTGTAGCTGCGGGTAAATTTGTTGCGGTACGCCGAGACCAGGCGCTCAAAGGGCTCCCGCACGAAGATGAACTTGAGGTAGCTGCGCAGGCGGTGATTAATCTCGGGGATGCTGTACTCAGAGAGGGTGCGCAGGTTGGACGAGACGTGGGCCTCATTGGCGGGGATTTCCAGCGGGTCCCGGTACTTGCCTTGCCCTGTCAGGACCATCATCACCCGCTTCCAGTTAGTGCAGGCCACTTTGGGCACGTAGCAGTAGAGCAGCCCATGCATGTCATCCACCACCAAGTGCCGCAAGTCATCCGGCTGCAAGAGACGCCGCTTGCGGGTGTAACGGTTGCAGACGTTGCTCAACAGCTCCCGTCTCTGCTGGTGAACCACCTGCAGTGATGACTGCTCAAACTGGGGAGGAAAAAAAAAAAAAAGAGATGGTCACCAGCTTGCCCAAGCTGATCGTGGCCTACAAACAACACTTGGCCCACAACTATCCCCACTCCCTCCCCTTTCCTGGGTTTGGCAGTCACCCATGTGACACCGCAGCCAAGAAGCAGAAACGTGGCACGCAAGTGCAGGCATGTACGATGAAAATGGCGCGGGTGTGCTGCCAAGGAAGGGCAAAGGGAGACGGGTGGAGGAAAATGGTCTTTAATGCTGACGGTCAAACCCTAGGGAGCAGACGGGGAGCTGGAGGAGAGGTGGGGTGGCAGGGCATGATGGAGAGGAGCGAGGCGCCGCTGGAGGTGATGGGGTGGCCCTTCCCAAGGGCTTTGGGTTTCTTCTCCTGAGGGACTTTTTCCACACAGGCCAGTCCGATGCCTCAGCTCTGTTCATAGTCTCCTTTCTCTACACGGAGGTCCTTTTTCTTTATCCCTTTTGATCCTTGCATCAAGGCCTGGCAACTGCTGCACTGGCTTCCCAGGAGCCCAGAACGCCCTGACCCCTGCCCTGGCTGAACCCCCCTCCAGATTTGGGGACGTGACCTTTCCTGTCATGGTTTTCATCAGAAATCCCAAAACGTCACTAAAACATCTGGGGAAGGAAACCATTTCCAGGAGCTCAGAAGGGGAAGGTCCCTTCCTCCTCCTGCCCACTCGCTCCCCGTTTTGCTCATGAGGGTTGGAAGGTTTCGTGTTCAGCCCCGAGGTCATCGCTGGGAACCTTCAAGAGCCTCGTCCGGGCCACGACCGCTAACGGCTTCACCGCCCGTTTGCTAACCCAGGGCAGCTCTGACCCCGCAGAGCTGTTGCTATAACGCAATGCGATGACCCCCATGTCGCAAGACAACAGTGCCTTCCACTTTGTGGTTGTGAAGACAGTCCCACTGGCATCACAGGGCACCATCGCAAATGTCTCTGGAGCCTGCAGAGACGTGGCAACCTCAAGATGAAAGGCAAGGGCAGGCCACCTCCTTGGTCCCTATATCCTTGCTGCTGACAGCTGTCATCACTTATGCATGCCAAAGGACACCCTTTGCCAAGCTTCAGGTGCACCCTCACTGCTCCCTGGGGGCCCATAAGGGGTTTTGGGAGGCACTAGAGCCTGGGTGAGGCAGCGTTGTGGAGATGGGGCTTTGTAAAGCTCCTGCTAGGAGTTGGGATCCTGAGACAAGCTGCCCATCCCATGGATGATCCAACAGACCCGTCACCTTCAGAGGGACACTAACATCTGGGCAAAAAGCTCCTCCTGCAAGGGATGAACCACACTCAGACCCTTTTGGATCTCCTTTCCACAAAAGAAATAACCTTGTCCAGGTCATCTTAGTGACCACTTTCTCCAGGAACCTGCATGGACAGTAACCTGAGACAGGGGCAGGAGAAAGCATCCCATCCCTGCTCCTTCCGAGAGGGAGATGATAAGGGAAAATGCTCAGATGGAGGAAATGCAGGTCAGCAGACTCTACTGCCACCAAGAGATGACTTTGACATTGTTGGCTACTTGGATATGAAGAAGATACAGCACCGAGGGATGCGATAACCATAGCTGAAGAGGCATTCTCATGGTACACGTCCTTGCGACACAGTCAAACCTTTCAGCAGAAATTTCTTTTGTTTGGAGGCTCCCCATCTGCTTTTAAAATTGGAAACCCTTTTTGCAAGTGCTTAAAAAAAAAAAAAAAAAAAAAAGGAGGCATTTTAATCATGTGATTTTTTTTCAGGTGGTTTTCCCTGCACTTGTGTAATTCAGAACTATTGGACCAGAGAGACAGACAGACAGACACTGTCTGCAGGCATGGCAACAAATAAATGCGACTACTTTTCAACAGCCACCCACTCGAATAAGTGCATGTCTTGCAGTTATTTCAGAGCAAAATTGCTCCCTTCATTTCCTTCTCTTTAAAAGCCAGACAAATTAAGTCACTTTCAAAGAAATAACACCATGACATTCCAGCAACGTTAGGGTTTGCCGGCATTGTGGCCAAAGAAGTTCACATTTGCCTTTTTTCCCAAAGCAAATTAATTTGGCTGCCTATAGATATAAAAGCATCAAGCTAGACAGTAACACAAAACATCGCGTATGGAAAGAAGATCTGACTCTGGCTGCAGCGGGCACTGGCACTGCCGATGGGCAGTGGGGTGGCTGCGGGGATGGCAGCCAGCTGCAGGGACCACCAGCATTGCCCTCTGCTTCTTGGGGGCTGCAGAAGATGACTGCCCTGTGGACGCGGGGAGATGGAGGGCACATTTGGTGCCATGGCCCAGGCCGTTGCACCGGTTTGAGGGCGGTTTCCTGCAGGGAAGTTGTGGGAAGGATTCCTCTGCAAAGACCAGTCTGGCTGCATGGGGGAAAAACTGCCCGCCCATGGGGGGGAAACGCAGTAGGAGGAAACAAACACAACTTTCGCAGCTTCAACCACAAAATCCCAAGCTCCCGTGGAGCTGCTAAAGTGCAAGTGGGACACCTTCCCCGATGCTGGGTCACCGATGCTGGTTGGGCTGCATGCACCGGGGGCTGGCAAGAGCGAGTGCTCCCTGCCTGAAGCAGTGACCATGGCTTGTCCTGTAGCAGACCCTTGCACAGACAGGGACCTACTAAGCCCACCTGGAAGGGAGCGTTTCCCTGCCCAGACTCTGCCTGGCTGCCCCTTTCTCTGCAGGTGTAACTGGCACAACTCAGGGTGATGGAGAGGACTGAGATGTCCCAGGATTACAAACCCCTCATGGCTGGGTCCAGCTTTATATATGTGTGTGTGTGTGTGTGTATATATATATATATATATGTATATATATTTATATATATATGTGTGTGTGTGTATATATATATCTCCCAGCCAGAAACATCTATCAATCATTAGCTCAGAAAGTGCAGCAATGATGCTCTTGCCCTGCTATGATGGCCCAGAGTTGGCTTTGAAATCCTCAGATAGCAAAATCTCCTGGGTTTGCCCAGCTATGGCTCAGCCCACCAGTAATGAAACCATTTGCCCAAGTACCAGCAAGGGCCATAAGCAGTTTTTTATCAACAATTACTCCCCAAAGCGGTGTGGTCTTTTCTTCTGGACATGGCCAGAGGTTCAGGCACAGGGACCTTGAGGGTGGTTGGAGACAGCGCAGTGCCCCGCACACCAGAGGGGTGGAAGAAGGGATCAACTCCAGCACCCCACTCCCTTTTCACCCCCCCATCTCCCTCTCCCTGTCCCCTTACCTGGTCACTCTCGTACAGGGCCTGGAGTGGGCTGCGACCGGCCTTTCCCTGCCAGGTGGATCTCATAACCCCATCTTCTGCAGCTGGAAAAGGAGCAAGAAAAATCAGAGGGGTTGGGAGGGGCTGCTTCGCTCACCCTCCCGGGAGATGCCTAAGTCGGGATGAGGCAACGTCCCCCAAGAAGAGACAAATCCGTTTGGCTCTGGGAGAAGATGCTCAAGCAATGCTTGTCCCTCCCTCTTATTTTTTAACAAAACCTGCAGTTAGGATTCAAAAGACCTAACCTTTAAACAAAGAAAAGACCATAAATAAAGATAGTGGCTTGTTACAATTTCAAGAACAAGTGGGAACAGTTTGATCCATGTGCATTTGGGAAATGCCACTGCATGCAGGCTGCATTGGCGAGGGAATGACCCAGGAGGCGACAGGACCCCGTCCAGCATCGCCACAGCCCCGTGAGGGGCGAGACAGCATCTGTGCTTGGCAGAGGTAAGAGGCAGATCCAACACCGGCGGCTCTGTGCTGAGCTCCCATGGGCTCCGAGTTTGCACTTCCAGGCTCAGAAATACGGTCATTAATAGACAAATTGGTCAGGTGCTTTGTCGGACTGGTAAGTCGTTTTAAGTTCTTATTTGCTATTTTTTTTTTTCTTCCCTTCAAAACCAGCAACGTCTCCTTGAGTGTTTGAAGCTGAAGACAGCCACCCAAGCAGTCCTCACCCCTTCCCTGCCATGCAGATGGGCTGGTTTGATTTCGGAGGTCTATCTGCAGCAGCACCAAACCCGAGGCTGGATCTGGCCAGCCACGAATGCGATGCCGGCGACCCAGTCGGTGACAGATGCTCAAGTTCTCATGCTCATAAATTATGTAGGGATGCAACCACCTTCCAGGCTATGAAGCATCTGCTTCAGCTGCCGTCCCTCAGCCCAGCGTGGGCAGAACCACGTGGCCTGGATATCCCGAACCTAATGCATGGAGCCAGCCACGAGGGCACAGGCTCTCGCTTGCAGTAACGCTTCCAAGCAGCTGTCCCACCTCTCACCCACCCTCTGCTTCTTGTATCTGACCCTCTCCACTGGCAGAGGATGCCACGATAGTTTTCATATGAGAAGGTGGTTTCTAACCATGGGGGTTGTGCAGCCCTGGAGCTGGCTTCCACAGAAGAAATTACGGAGTTTTAAAATGGAAGTTGTTTTTTCTGAAGGGGATGATAGGACACCTTGTTCGGGAGATTGTGGCCTGGGAGGTTCTTCCAGTCCTACCTGCTCATACAGGAGAGACCTTCTAAAATCTCAGAGGGACGTATGTGGTGGGGGGAAAAGCATCTCTCACAAACCATTTCTGGCAACGTGAAGGTTTCTAACACAGGCTTTTTGCACGACAATTTGGGGCTCTGGATCTTTTCATTCACTGACCATCACCAAACAAAAACACATTTGTTATACAAGCCCCAGACGGCATCTTTTTAAACAAAATAACCAGAAGGAAAAATCCAAATCCCATCTTCATTTTCATGTGCTTATATTTTGCTTAAATGAAAACTGCTCCAAAGCACAAAGTCACCAGGGTCTAAGCTAAACATTTTTCATTCCTGGAACTGTAATTAGGGGGAAATGACTGCCTGACCTCACAAGATTTCATCAGCAGCGCATGTACACTTGTGCGTTTGTGGGAAATGACACTTCCTGCAGCACTGGACTGATCGAGATGTGACTCAACGAGAAGATACGGTTTCTTCCTCAATGCCCTGTATCAGTTACCCCAGAGAAGGGTGAAACGGCATCTGTGCTAATGATAGATAAGCAGAAGATCCAATGTACACAGCGCGGGGCTGAGATGCTCGTCCCAGAGGAGCCCCATTTCACATTTCCAGGCTCAGCCCTCTGCAAATGACAGGGAATGAGATTGACCTTGAAAACTCGACGCACTGCAGCTCAAATCTGCAAGCAGAGAGCATTAAACTCGAGTCCCTTTCCTGGCCGGGGCTGATAAACTCCTGTTCGATTTAAGAGCATGACCCTACTGTGGGCTGTCTGCAAGCACCCTGCACCGCAGCAGACACTTGTCCTATATTTAGTAAAAGCAACGTCGAGGCGTTTGTTTTCAAGATTAACACGTGTATCAACCAGAACCTTTCTTATAAGGGATATAAGCAAAGCCCGGGTGGTTCAGGCTGACCTGAAGCTGCTAGAAATGCAAATTGCTTGTGCCAGCACTGCGCAGTGGTGCGTGGAGACAAGCACCCGGTGCAGGGTCAGGTCGTGGCCCGGGAGGAGCGGGCTGGCTCGGCAGGAGGCTCTTTAGGGTGAACAAAAAGCAAATCTGCAGTAAAGCGGGGAGCGAGCAGAGGTCGGGCAGGTCAGATCCGTGCTCTGACCGCCCTGGGCTGTGCCGTTCGGTGCTGCTGAGGCAGGGGAGCAAGCCTGGCCAGGGACTGCTGCACCTCGCATGACTCTTGCCAACAGCCCCAGCAGAAACGTTACAAAATGGATTTCCTCCAGCCTTTCCCCAGCGCAAGTTCTGGCAAAGAACAAGGCGTCTTCTCCAGATAGCAGCAAACCCCCTGGGATCCCCGCTACGCTCATCCTGTACAGGGCTCCAGAAAAAAAGGGGAAGAGAAAAAAAAAAAAAAAAAAAAGGAAGAAAAGCTGCCAGGCTTCTCCCGTGCGGCTGGAGGAGCCCGGGAGCGCTGAGCTGGCAGGGGGAAGACGCCAGCGCTCCACACTCACTGCATCTTGACAGCTTTTGCTCTCCAAAGTGATGACACCATCCCCTGCCCGGGGCGCTCGCCAAACCCTTCAGAGCAAATGTCTGGCCCAATGGCAGGTTTTTACAAGGCTCCAACTGCAGGAAGTCTCCCCCCTCAGAAACCGTCTGCTCACGCTACACGCGGCACCCCAAGGAGAAAAGCAAACGGGGTCCTGGCTGGGCCATGAGGATGACTTTTGAAGACAGTGTTAAACCCTGCGGCAGAGGGGGAGATGCAGCAGCTGCAACCGTGTGCGGCTCAGCACAGCACCATGCCAGCACCGGTGCATGCGGAGGGCAGCAGCCCATGTGTGCTCCGTGGGACCAAAGTGTCCATCCTCTGCAGGGCTGGGGTCAGAGCGGCTGCAAATCCCTGCGGCCGGCAGTGTGCGCTCAAACGGAGACAAGTCCAGGCTGCCTGTGCCCAAAGCATCCCCAAAACATCTGGGATCTCCCGGCAGAGCAACATTGGCCGTCACAGCAGCAGGCAGGCCAGGGCTGCTGTGACCTGCCTGAGCCATCGGGAGGCTGTAGACGGTGATTTAATGGAGTCCAGCCCTGCTAAGACCAGGCTTTGCCACCTAACACAGCTCTGCCCCATGACCCCAAGCCGTGGCCATCCCCTGTTCACCATCCCTCAGCCCTAGCACCTGCAACCTCTCTGCTGATGCACTCCTCTCCCAGTCCTCCCCCCATCGCCAGACCCCGGGTCCTCCTCTGTGAACAGAGCTCAGCCCTAATTTGAACACAAAACCCTCTTCCCTGGCTGCTCCATCCCAACCACCTCATCATGCAATCCCACAGTGCGCTCCCATCCTGGGGTCTCTCCCCACCCTGTCCCCTAATTGCTGTCCCCATCCTGTCCTCGCCTTCACCGCCTACCCCAAGCAGGCAATGGCCCACCTTAGAAAGGCCGAGCTCAAGGGGCTCCACAGCTGGCTGAACTGCACAGCTGGAGAGGAAACCAAACATGGAGGGGGAGCCGGGGAAAGGCTCGATTCTTGATCGGTGCCTGTTTCTTCCATCAGATCTGGGATACAGCCTAGACTGCGAGGAGGAGGAGGGAGGAAGGGGACAGATGGGCAATGGCATTTGCACTTCCACTCATTCACACTGAGAGCGAGTCGATCACCCCATCCCCTGTACCGTTGGCTTACCCATCCCTGGGATGCTCCTGGGACTCCAAGAAGTTTGGGAGGGCCAAGGAATACTGAAATATATGACAGTGTTGAGGAGGGAGTATCATCAGAGTAAGTTAATGGTTTGTGCTGCATTTTGGCACCATGGTCCTAAGTACAGCAGGATCTTCCATCATGGAGGAACTGCCAAGATCTTCGCATCCTGGCTTTCCTCCTGACTTTATAGCTTGTTACTGAGGTTCCCAGATTCCACCACATGCAGTGGTAATCCTCGGAAATTTAGCATCACCACAATTGCATCCGAAAGCAGGGATGTGACTTAGCCAAGGTATATCGAGTTTCTAAAGGGGAGAAAAGATCAACCCTTGGCAACTGCTGGATCACCATTTGGATAACAAGTATCAAGACAGCATATGTCCGTGATCCAAATCCAAAATGTTTTTCACTGAGATGAGCAGAAGGAAATAGCACATTTGTCCTTTGCATCTTCAAAGGATGAGGCAAGGGAATAGGAGTGATGCAGAGCAAGAGACCAAAACCCTCATGCTAAGGCAGTAACATTGGCCAGAAATCACTGAATAAGATGAGCTTGAAAGGGAGCTCAGGCACATTTTGGAGTCTCCTGTGCTACAAGTGCTTTCAGTCTTTCCTTTGGAGCTTGAAAAGGCAACGCGCTCCCTCCCTCCTTTCCCCCTACAGCTCAGATTTTAGTGCTGTCCCATCAAAACCGAAGCTATTCTCTTGCAGCAGCGTGACATCAATACCACAGCAGGATCTGGGGTTTCAATGACTTGCCAGCTCTCTTTGGAAAAGGGAATAGATTTTAAAGCTGTGCATATTTAGGTGTACTAGCTGATTGCAAAGACAGCCAGACATGTGTGAGGTGAGGGAAAGACTGGATCATGCCCATCCCAGACTTCTGGAAGCACCAGCAAAAGAATTTGCTGTTTTGGCTGCAGAGACTTTTAATTACGAAGGGAGGTTCTCCGCAACCACAACAGCAAATCCAGCGCCTGAATTGAAGAGTTTGGCTAGGAGACAGGATTCAGGCAGCGACAAGCCTGCTAGGCTGACATCAGCATTACCAAGGCTTTAGAAAACAGTCTGAAGGAAAGAAAACAATTAAAAGATGTGGGCGCAACTGGATAGAGGAATAAAATCAACATGGCATATACTAAGCGCAACTTACA